TTTTAAATATTGGGCTGTCTTATTTATTCTCTCTCACACACACCCTGCCACTAACGTTAAACCCCTTTACTATTCAATTAAACACATTCAATGTTTATTTATTGTAAAAGCAATTGGGCTATTTTCTCACACACCCACACCCACACACACACACACACTTCTCCGCCTCATTCTGTTTTCATTTACTCGTTCGTTATCTGCAGCTTCAATCTTGTAGGCTACTCACTTCGTTTCTTGTAGCCCTCTAAAGGGTTTTGGAGGACCCTCGGTGAACGTGAGTTGTTTGGCTTTCTTGTCCGCAGCAGCAGAAAGCATTTTCGAATGTTTGAATGAATCAAAGTGGGTCGCCACCGTCGATTTTCTCTTATACTCCAACACACAGTTGCACGGGGTGCAGAATAGTTTCCCCCCACTTTTTGCCCGGTCTTTAGTAGAAATGTTCGTCGGTAAATGAGCTCTATACAGTGTTGTTTACATTCTGTGATGCGCGAGCTGATGACGTCACGTCAAGACGAGTTAACTTCTTCTCAACTTTGTCTGGAAAAATGCGGGGATTATGCGGCCTTCTGATAAATATGCGGCCTTTTAAAAATCTGCGCCATTTTGCTGATTATGCGGTAAATTCTGCGATCGCAGAATCGCGTTTTTCTGGAGGGTCTAATACATGGTAATCACCCCAAAGCCATCTGAAAACCTATAGAAAATACTATTTGTTTTCTCCCACAGGACCGTAGAAGGAGAATTTAAAGGTGTTGGTAAGAAAGGACAAGCTTGTATTCAGCTGGCCAGAATACTTCAGTACCTGGAATGTCCTCAGTAAGTAGTACACTTATTATAATCAGATCACTGCCATTTGATCAGATTCTGATTACTGCTTTTATTTTTACCCAGGTATCTGCGCAAGTGGTTTTTTCCAAAGCATCAAGATTTGCAGTATGCAGGTTAGAGTTCCAATTTCATTTATGGCGCATTTACACTGTTTGGTTAGGCCTTATTAGGCCCGGCTCACTTTAATGCTGCGCTCACATTACAGTTTAGGAACTGGGGTAGTATCTATAGTAACGCAGTGTAGGCGGAGCCGTGACGTCATCTTCAATGAGCTCCCCAGAAAAACAACACAGCCGTTAGCTCTTAGCACTCAGAGCTCACAGCTCTTCATATCTGTTCAGAAAGTAGACAAAAGTTAAACAAGTACAAACCACATACTGTCTGTGTCATGGAGAATACAGTCGCTGGTTTATTTATGTCTGTATAGGCCGTTGTTGTGAGTGTGGACGGTCGGAGCATTTACAACGTTAGCTTAGCCAAATCTCCATTTAGACAACACGCATTTTAAAAGGTTTTTCGCCAGCCGTCTGTCTGCAGACTTGTCAAAGCCTTAATTCATGGTTTTTACTATCCGGTATCAGTATGTTGTTACTTCGGCATCATTTTGAAACATGTATTACAATTAAATCACGGTCAAATATGTTCATCTTGTTGTAGTTGTAGCCCCCTTGACAGCGATTCTCTCTCTAGTTTAGCAAACTCAGCCCGACTCAGCCCTGTTTGTTGGCCTCGATAGAACCATGATTTAGTCGGGCCAGAAAAAAGGTGAAAAAGTAGCCCCGGGCCGGAACTAGGCCAAGTGGAAGCGCAACCAAAAACAGGCCCCGCACGGCTCGGCACGCTTAAAGCATGCTCCGCGCTGCAGTGTGAATGCGTCAATCTGAATATAAGAAGACACATTGATTATAAGAAGACACATTAATCTAAGAAGACACATTGATTATAAGAAGACACATTAATCTAAGAAGACACATTGATTATAAGAAGACACATTAATCTAAGAAGACACATTTCTTGAAAGTAATTGCTCTTTTTTTCTGCAGGTTTGTTGAACCCTTTAGACAGCCCTCACCACATGAGGATAGACGATGAGTCAGCGTATCGGGAAGGAATCGTCCTCGACCGGCCGAACAAACCAGGAAAAGGCTCTTTGGTCAACTGTGGGATGAGAAAGGTGAGCATGGTTAAATAGATAAGTAATAGAGGGATAGTACAAAGTTACTGACATCATGTCATGTGGACAAAATGCACAAGTAACTAATTAAAGATACATTTGACTGATATCGTCCAAATATTCAAATGTTTGCTCATTATAACCGTGTAGTGAAAGTCTGTACATGCTTTGGCTCATCTTGTTATGACTGTGATTGTTTTATGACTGCTTGAAGTTGTCTGCTGCCTATCTTGGGCCAGGACTCCTTGGGAAAAGAGGCTTTTAATCTCAATGAGATAATAAATATAGAAAGTAGGCTATAAATAACGATTTTGTTCTGATTTACAAAAAAAGGTATTCTTTATATTAATTTCACATTCTAACATTTGAAAATATAATAGTATAACTTGAAGTTTCCCAGAGCTCAAAGTGATGTCTAGATATCCCTTCTTTTTTTTACAACTGCTGAAAACCCCAAATATATTGGGTTTTATAGTTTATTATAAAGACAAAGAAAAACATTGGTGTGTTTATGTGCTTCAAGAGATGGCCCAAACTATTACATCATCATCTAAATAATTGCCTATTATTATCATTCTGATTCTGCCATAGACTGATTGTGTTCCCTCTGCTCCTACAGGAGGTTCGTATTGACAAACAGCTGCAGTCTGGACTCCGAGTCACAGTGAAGCTCAATAAGAAACAGAGCAATGGTAACGAGACATTTTATTATTTCATATATTTTCTCTCTTAAAGTCCCCATGCGCTCTGGATTCTGCCACCATCAGCTCAGTGTCTCCTCCTGTGTCTCCTCCTCAGACAGCAAGATGTATAAAGGAGCGGTGGTCTCTCCTCACCTCCCCCGCACTGAAGGAGGTCTGTACTGGGGGTACAGCGTCCGCCTGGCATCCTGTCTCAGTACGTTTCTTATTCCTGTGATCAACTGCTATTATGCCCGAAATCAATTTCTAACATTTTAACCATTTTAATCTAAATAGCTAGGCCAGTCATGTTTGTTTACGTGATCAGCTTAGAGTGCGATAACCACCATCATTTGTACATTATCGACTATGGTAGCCGGATGGTAGAGGCGTGTTGTTATTTGCACTTTCTGTAAACAAATGTCCTTCTATTGACAAACGGCTTGCACCATTATGCCTGTTTCGGATGGAAAGACTATGCAAATGGTTAATACTTGTTTTTATCATTTTTAAAGATTCCAAGATTTTTTAGTTTTGGATGTTTTCATTGATCCTTTATTTATTTAGAATATTTTGGACCTTCTCCATCGAAATCAGTCGCATTGACTCGAAGACACATTTTGAGTTGTACTGTTGAAAAGAGGAGATTCCTAGCTTTCAAAAATATTAAGCGAAATATGTCACATTATATAATGATGGTCACCGAGTCATCATTTTGAGAAAAAGGCCTTCAAAGTTTCTTCTTCTCTGGAATCCATCGATCTGATTGATTATTAGCAAATGATCAAAATACTACGGAGGGAAGATATTTTGGTTTGGATTACTGGTCTGGGGGAAGCTCGCGTGTGTGTATACGTGTTTGTGTATTTTTGCGTTTGTGTGAAAACACTCACGTTCATCCACGTTTATTTTTGAAATGAGCCGTTGCGACTTCCGACTGATTTCGATAGAGCGGGTCACATGTTTTCATGTTTCAATTCCAGTGTTCATTGCTCTTTGAAAATGTTTACTTTCATTATAATGCTAATATATTATCATTTTATATAATGGTATAAAATGGGGTTAAAATGAAAATATTGTCTTTTATCTCAACTATTTCTGGGACAATATATCGTCCAAACAAAAGTATTTATCATGACAGGCCGGATCTAGCTTTTTCATCCACACAACCTACTAACTAGTGTACTAATCCAGTTTGAGTATCGAGCACGCTGTGACTGCTTGATCCTTATTGCTGTTGGTTTGGTCATGCAGGTGCAGTATTTACTGAAAGTCCGTATGAGGATGGATACGACCTGACTATTGGAACATCAGAGAGAGGCAACAACTTGGACCAATCAACACTCTCACCATTCAAGTAGGTTCAGAAACAATAGGATAACTATCGCCAAATTCACTCAACGAAGCAGCAAAGTGCGGATTCAACAGTAATTATTCAAAGTTCAACTTTTAAGGCACATTTTTGGCCAGAGAGTTCCTACAGCTAATTTGTTAATGGCCTCTTATTTACTCTATGTTGACCTGTGCTGCAAATAATTGATTTAGCTTGATGTACATAAATAGTCTTCTGGCTGCACACAGTACATTAATATCTCCTTTTGAAATGTAGAGGGGTAGAAGTTTAAAGCAGGATAAACCCACTTTCCACCACCACATTCTAACACAACATTTCAAGTCTTCTTATAACAATAATGGTGTTTCATTCGTTTTAAATGGAGTTTTTCCCACGTGTAGGCATCTTTTAGTTGTTTTTGGAGGTCTTCAGGGTCTGGAGGCCAGTGTAGATACGGACCAAAACCTGGAAGTGACGGACCCGAGTGTTTTGTTTGACCTTTACCTCAACACATGCCCTGACCAGGGCAGCAGGACCATTCGCACAGAGGTGAGGGCTCCTTAAATGAAATATTTGATTGACTTTTTTGTTGAGAAAAGACAGATTTACACTCTTAAAATCTACGCAAATACCTTTTTCATTTGGATGCACACCACGTGTTAATTTACTTTTGTTTATCTTCTTTTCAACAGGAGGCAATTTTAGTTTCCATGGCGGGGCTGAGACAGAAGATCACAGCTGCATTTTCAGATGTTTCCAGCAGTTCATTCAAGATTTAATGAAGAAAGGAAGTGAGCAAAGACTGGCAGACGTTTTATAAGGACCATCAAGTTGTACTTTTTCCATTATCAGTGCTGTAGTGTTGCTTACTGTAAAACAGATGTTATTTCAAACATTCAACATCATTGTTCTTCATTCTGTATGTCTTTGTTTGTAAATGGCTCAACATATTGTACATATTGAAATACAAAAACTATCCACAAGCTTCAACTGACTTGTATTGTATTTTTCAAAGCATATGATATGATTCTCGCAACAGTACTTTCAATGAAAAACAGCGTTGAGATGTCACAACATGTACAGATAAATGTACGGAGGCAGACGGGTGCAAACGCGCTACATCGGCCCAAAACACTCAACAACTTGACAATCCCTGAGCGCCAACAAGCGCTCCGTCCCAGCTGTGTGTCACTTTTTAGTGTCCCCAGGTTTCCTTTGAGTTTGGAGTTTCTTGCAGCGTTTTTTTAATGCAGTTTTGTATATGCAGCGCTTTTAGTAAACGCTGCGCATGTGATGTGAAGTTGGTGAGATGTTTCTTCGTTTGGATATGTTTTGGCAAATTAGTGTTTTTACATTTGCATCGTTTCTAAAGCTGCAGCGTGTTTTTCCAAGTAGAAATGTTTTGTGCCGTTGTTTTGCATTTTCACCTTTTGAACTAAATGGCACAGAATATTTTCATCAATGAGTCTGCTTCAGGTTTGTAAGCAGTTCATCCAACAGATTGTGTAACAGATGCGATTACTTTCCAGTTGCCATGCATGCTACGTGCATTAATCTACCCATGTGTATTGGCATTTTATTCTCATAAATACAAAAAGAAAGCCAGGCAAATATTTCATTTGAATACCAGGTTTGCACAGGAATTGCAATATGCGTTTGTTGTTGGGAGTATTTGTGGATTAGCTTGATATACACTCAGTTCCCACATAATTGGGTACATGTGGCAATACAGTTTGATACGACTCCTGCAATAAATAATACCTTCATAAATGTTCAGATTTAAAATGTTAGAATAGTAGTAGTACAATATTTTGAGGCCTGTATTGTTGAATTGCATCTGTTTGATTAATGTTTATTATACTTAGTTCTTCCTTATTTATATAACTTGGGTGTCTTAGCTATTGAATGTTTTTGCATTATATGCAATATAAACATTTTGTAGTAATAGTAATATCTTGATATATTTCGCAGGCAATTTAATATCGGTAAAATAGCAGCAGTTGATGTGGATTATGTATTTTTTCCAACAAATTACTTTCCAAAAAACCCAAGTATACTGGCTTCTGACCAAGCACATTGCTCCCTTAAAGATGAAGGAACACTTGGTTTGCAAAAGGCATCACAGTTTTAGATATTGCACCCTTCTCTGCATCCTGTTTAGTTTAGTCATGTTTAGTTAATAGCAACATACTAATATATATATATAACACCATCATGATGCATTTTGTGAATTGAAGATGCATGCACTGAAATGCCACTGAGGTAAAAAGGTCATGAGGCACAACTTTAACTCAATTTCATGAAAACATTCAAATCAACAGCAAAAATGTTACAATGAAGTTCTACATTAGACAAATCGAGGATATGACAACTTCTTTAAGATTGGAAAAAACTAGTCTTAGTATTAAGACCTAAGTATTCTGTGAAAGTGGTATTCTGTATCTGTAGAATAGTTTTTCGTGCCACATAATTTCAAGAGCCTTAATGTGTCCTATCAATATAATCAAAACATATTTGTGTCTATTCTATTTATTGCCTGTGTGTCAAACGTATGAAGAAATGATTCTAGCTAAAATAATGAAAAAGTATAATGGTCCTGTCCGTCATATTGCTCCCATACTAAATGTGAATATACTGAAATGTACATGCCGATGAAATGGTTTAGTTGAATCTGACTGCAGTTACTGTAGTTTCACATTTGTATAGTAGACGGTTGATGTAGAGCTCAAATAGTGTTTTGTAGTCTATTGTGTTTCATGAGAATGCTTGCTTATATAATCCCCCTGAGCATGGGAAACACAAGTGCATTTTCAATAACAAAAATATTAGAAACATGTAAAAATTCCTCTTTAAATTCAATTTCGTCTCTATGTACAAAAACACCTGTCGGACGGCCACCACGTCAATGTGGGATTTACACAATATATTATTTCCTCTCATTTGGTCCACACGCTTTTGACCAAAAGATTCTTCGTCCTCTTGGCGTTTTCATGATGATGTGGCTTCACGAGGGTTCATTCTCTCAGTCAGGCCACAGTGAGTATGTGTATTTCTCTCTTTCTTTCCCACTAAAGTCTAAACCCATTTGGGGTGAGAGAAGGTGATGTTGTACTGCTTCGCCCAGCGGCCAAACACTTGTTTCTCCGTGATGAAGCGATGGTGGTTCCCTCTGCGCGCCCCCTCATGCTGCAGGTATGTGACACACTCATCCGGCCCCCTGGGCTTGTAGTAGTGGTAGGGCATCTTTTTGGCTGGAGGTTTAAATTTTCTAGAAAAATGTAAGGTTTTATTAATGAGTTGAACAACCAGATTATTAGTGATGTTCTAATTGTGAAGCAAGTACTGCATTGTTACCAACAATGTACTTACCCACAGTGATTGGGTGGGACCATCCCATACACTTTGATACTATCACAAAGCTCGATGGCAATGACCATAGTGAACCAGCCTGTGCTCAGCCAGGAGTGAGATTTCTGTCTGAGCAGAAGAAAACAGCAAAACAATCTGTTAGTGAAATCTACCCAATATGGGGCTGGAAAAGATATACCACCATTTTATGACCAAATACAATATATATCAATATAGCAATGATATTGTAGGGTTGTTCATTGATGCGTTCACAACAAATGACACAATGACAATTTTTATAATCATCAATAATAGCAAATGAATTACTTAAAAACCTAAAAAAAGTTGCAAAAATAATATTTAAAATTGCAATATAATGAGCAACGTCCTCAAAACATGATATAATGTATATAAACATAATAGTGCAAAATAATGACTTGGTATCTCAAAGCAAGGAGACACTTTCACCAAATATCGTAAAAGATCATCTTCGTATTAAGCCATTAAAAGACATCCATCCAAATGGCAAAATAATGATTTAATTTCACCAAATATTGACTAGAAATTGCAAAATAACAACTTAGTTTCTCAAATAATGGGAAACATCTTTCAAATAATTACTAAATTTAGCAAAAATAATGACTTCATATTAAGCCAGAATAGAAAACATTTGCGATAATACAATTTGCAACACCTCTGACAAAATGCAGTCTCATATCATGTTCTGGATAATGTATCTGGCTCTACATGAAACCTGATCCCTCTGCTCAGTGAACCCTCACCTGTCCCGCCCGGTCTCCCGGTGAAACAGGCTGTCGAAGCGGCGCATCTTGCTGGCGGTGATACTGAAGCAGGACATGTTGCTGTAGGTGGTGCTGACCCTCTGGATCAGCCGGTACAGGGTCCCTTTGGCGTCCTTCCCCATCTTGTTGGGGGGTCCCCAGAAGATGATCACAGGGCTGCTGTCGGGCCTGTGCAGGAACTCGCTGGGCCTGCGGACCACCCTGAACACGCTGGAGTGGGCCACCACCCTCAGAGAGGTCTGGTTCCCCACGTCCGCCTCGAAGCCCAGCGTGGGGGCGTCGTTCATCCGGATCACACACTGCGCCTGGTCGATCTCCGCCCCGGCTCGACTCCCCAGGACGTGGCTGGAGCTCGTCACCAGAGCACAGCTGCCACAGTGCAGACTCATCGTCTGACGGGAAGAGACACACGAGTGGATCAACTTATAGTTTAGCAAAATATCGATTTAATGACACAAAAGAAATGATGAAGAACCTCAAAATAATGAGAAACTTTCTCAGAAATAAGTATTGCACAATATTTTGAATTTGTGGCATTAATTAATGCATTTTTATTGCAAAAATAATGACTTGGTGTTGAAAAAAAATTACTTGTATCATCTTAATGAGTAACTGTTCCCAAAAAGAACTTTAAATAACTCTTTGTGTTGAAATTCTATTCTTTGGAGAACAATGTTTTTGCAGTGCTCAGCTGGCTTCTTAGAGCTTCATATTTGTATTTTAAACTGGTTGACATAAGTTGTTGTGTGTTATGAGATATGATAAATGAAAGCAGGATGTAGCTGGTTTGGAGAGGAACAGTTCACCTTGTATTTCACAGTGTTTACTTTGAGGGACTCATCTCTTACAGTTCTTGATTTTGAATAATTCCCTGTAATGTCTTACATAAGCTGCAGCTGCCCACTGTTTAGGACAGGGGTGTCAAACTCAAATCCGGCCGTGACTTCATTTTATGTGGCCCCACAAGAGCTTTTAAAGAATATAACATGTTTATTATACGGTTACATGCTGATTTACAGAAGCGATGCCCATAAACTACATGTCCCACAATGCATCTCAAATTGGACTTTTTTTTCCTTCAAAAATATGCCTTTTATCTTAGAATTTGACTTCTTTTTCAAAATGTTACCTTTTCCCCAAAATGTCACTTTTTTTTTAAAACTTTTTTTCCAGAATGTGGCTTTTCTTTTTAAATCATTTTGTGACATTCTCACTGAAGAGACTTGCAATTATTTGCCATAGACTTCTTCTTTCAGACGTAGTTAATTATGAAGTTACCCTATCCGATAATAATCCAATGCAGCAGAGGCAATAATGTAATACATTATTTTATATATATTAAATATTTCTATATGTATTTTTTTATATAGTCTTAAAGTTACAACCGGTTCTTTGAGTGCAACCATAATGCGAATGTGGCCCGTGATGAAATTGAGTTTGACACCCCTGGTTTAGGAAGTCTGTGCGTCTTTCCTTTTTTGAACAATGCACCACATCCTTTTTGTATCTTTACTGACTTCCTGAGTTTTGAAGTTAACATGCTCCGTGCAGCAGCTACATTTCCCTTCTTTTGCATTCTTCTCTGATACTTATTGTGGATTTCCACGTCATAAAACACATTTCTTCGTCCGTGCATGAGCTGTTGAGTACCTTGTTCCCATGGAATGGCACATATCCGTCTTTCCCAGACCACTTCTTCAGATCTGTGGCCTTGATGGCCTTATTTATAGCCAGATGTAGTGGAGAGTAGATGTTATCGTTGACATTGTTGGAGCCATAGAGGATGAGGAGTGTCATCAGGACGAAGATGGCTGCGAAGATCACCAGCCTGTGGCTCTGCTGCCCCTGAGGAGTAAACAACAGAGTTAACGTGTCATCTAAAACCTCATTTGACCGACATTTTGTATCAACACTATGCTTCTGCTCCACTGGTTTCAGAGGGAATTATTTGATTGTTTTGTCAACAATTATTTTTAAAAGCTGTAATTAATTTTAAGAGTTTACATTTTACAAAGAGAACAATTTGGAGCTTATTAAATACAATGTATTTTGTAAGATAAACGAATCAACACTATAGGCCTACTGTAAAAAAAAAAAGTCTCACTATGGTTTCAACTTGGTCTGAGGGCCACACCCTGCTCTTACCTTTGCACTGAGCTTGAGCCCCATTCTGTCAGATCAGGCTGTGTTCCAACACACTGCCAGTGACTGTCTGTCATCATATCTGAAATATGGACAAACATGAGATGCTGCTGTACATTCAAATCCAATCATGCGATGAGTCCACCGTTGCCCTAACACTGTACATTATTCAGTATTATGGCAATGCTCCAACAAAAACAAGCACAGTTATTCACTTAATGTATGCTAATTGCAGTACAAATCCTATACCAATCTGTTACTTTTACCTTAAACCCCATTAATACAAGGCAATTATTATATTGTAAAAGAAAAGGAAACATCATACGCAGCCATATTTCCCAACGGCTGTTGACGAACATGCACTGAGATGATTCTAGTTTTAAACAACACCCAGTTGATAGGATTAAATATGATCCGCAGCGACATGTCCCATTCCGATGGACAACTGTCTTTAATCCGCACTTTACCGTTTTATGCTCCCGGTGTGTCTCCGTGTGTGATGTCTCTCTGCTCTGCCTCGCGCCCCCATTTTCCTGCGCCACTAGCTGACGTCATCATCACGTATCTCACTGCAGCAGTGTGTGGAAAATATAATCACATTATGTACTCTTCTTATAAACATGCAAAAATGTTCACACTAAGGGTACACAGAATAAGTAACAATAATAAAAGAAAAGACAAATACATAACTAAAGGTGATATGTATTCAAGGAATACAAAAGTGTTGTTTCATGTTTCACACTGAGGGTACACAGAATAGGTCAACATTTATTTTAAAACAAAATCATAAAATAATACATCTCTAAGAAAAGTTGATACAGATTAAAAATATTTTTTTAATATTTCCTTCTTATTCATATGTATTCGTGGTGCCATTATGATGTAGTCCAACATTTGGTTTAAAGTCCGTCTATTCTTATGGATGTGGAATGTTCCTATAAATGAAATTAACAGTTTATAAAACATTCATTTTTCTTTTCCATCATCTCCTTGAAAGTATATAAACATATTTAGCGTGTATGTGTCTGTAGCTATATAGGCTCAAAACGTTAGCATTCATTTTCAAACATCTACTAAACCCTTGGTTTGCATCACAATTAGAAAATTAATGCAATTTGAAGGCACATTTGACATAAACCTGTACGAAAAATGAAATGGAATATTAAAAGAATCCATTAAAAATACTGTAAAATACTATAATAACTAACTGACTATATTATTAATGGAATATGGTCAAATAATAAGGATTATATTTTCAGCATATAACATATGAAAGTGTAGTCTCCTCAGTGAAAACAGCTTATCCTTAAACTGAACTCATCTGATACAATTAAAAATGTCTGAAATAAAGACTTCTTGTCTTTAACCTCATACAAAGACAAGCTCTCACACACACTGTAAGCAGATTTATTCACATTTACACCAATATCTGCAGTAACCAGTGGTTTAGTTTACATTCAGGTTCGTACTTTGTACACCTCACAACACAAGTCTACTTAAAACAAATCATCAATAAAACGTTTTAATTCAAACAACTCCTGTCTGAAATGTACCTTATAGGAGAACACAGTAGTTTGCACAGTAGTATAAGTACTATTATGGTCTTTGGAATTGGTCACAAATAAGCGTTATGTGACTGAAAAGGCAGCGCTATGTTTTTTACTGTAAACAACCAGCAGAACATATAAAGGGTGAAGGTGGATGTAACTCATGTTGTGTTTATGGTAGTGGACCAATTACATTCAAAGTTTCAAAAGACACTAAACTGGGTCTCCATGATCTGTGTGTACTATCCATTTAATACTGTTTGTTGGCCATTTATTGTAAACTATCTGTGAAGAGTAACCTCTGCAGAAACATGTACTGCTCGTCAGAGTTACATAGAGCCGCTGTGTCCTGTCACTGGTGTTAACTGCAAAATCTCTCTTTGGGTTAAACGGCACTGTGGAAATATCTAGACACTGCTCACAAAACACAAGCTAAACTAAAAGCTTAAGACTTAAAAAATTAAAACCCTGAATCTATGTGCACTCAAGGCAAGTTGCAAGTACAATTTGAACTGTTTTGAAGCGCATTTAAGGTACCAAAACCAACTGTGTTTCATACTTTAATAGCTGTTATCACATTAACATTGTTATAAATGCAAGTTTACAGAATTATTTTTAAATTCTGAATTTTCTGTGTAATATTACGTGTGACTTTCACAACTAATTGTGCAGTTGAAACACCACATTGAGTTTTAAATTCAAGCATATGCCTAGCCTTTGAAAATCAGCAACTTCTTTGGGAATGAATCATCTTTGAGATCATTTTTTAGGCAAACATTTAAAAAGAACTCTTCGATTCCAGTTAACAATTGTCTTTGTTTTCTGCTTTTCTTTGTCTTTTATGACTGTAAATTGACCAAGGTCATTTCAAATGTAAACTTGAGTTCTGGTACAATGTTCTTCTGTTGACCTTTTTTAAAAACAATTTAAAAATGTTTTGACCAAAACATGAAACGATTAATTGAGATAACAAGTGCCAGATTAATCAAAAGCTGCAGCCCTAAACAATAAACTTCCTGTTTCCTAGAGTATAGGCGCAAGTTGAAGTTGCAGCATACAAAAACGTTTTGCAAAATTAAATAAAAAGTCAAGGCACAGGTATGACGAAATGAAAACTGTAAGCTTTGGTATAAACTGGTTTTAGTATCTAGTTTAGTGGCTTAGTTTTTTGTATCAGTTTCTATACTGATATATGGCTATACATAATGGTAAGTAATACTGAGAGTGGGTTACCAGTTGAATGCCGGGACATCTGGAGCATTATTTCATATTTATGGCTAATGATAGTATACACTATCAAATGGAACTTTTAGAGGTAAAAAAAAACATTTTAGAAAACAATCTTCAGCAAGGAAGATTAAAAGCCAGCAAAAGTAATCTTTAAGACCTTTTTTAGAGGCTCCATGAGGGGTGTTTAAACTCCATTTTGTGCCGTGTTGCCCATTTAGCGTAGATGGCCTTCTCGGTGATGAAGCGATGACCCCCCCGCTGCGTGTTCTCGTGGACCTTGTACATCCGACACTCATCCACTCGGTTCCTCTCGTAGTAATGGTAAGGAACAGTGCTGTGATTGGCTCGACTGTCAGGAGGAGTTCACAGGTCATTTAGGATACGTAGAATAAGATGAAGCTCCAGTATTGATCATACAAGAATGCAAAATGTCTCACCTGCAGTAGTTATTATCAATCATTCCATAAACACGGATGCTGTCACACATATCTAAAGCCAGAATCATGGTGAAGAATCCGGTGCTGAGAAACGCCCCGGTCTTCATTCTGAGGGAGAAACCAAACATGTGTTCTTAAAAGACCCGTAAATGAACATATTAAAAACCACACAAAGGCTAATAATTTACTTATGTCAGGTAAATTCATTGCAGGTGTGAGAATATTAATGATCGGCTCAAAATAATGTTAAAAACAATTATCTCCAATCAAATAACATACATTTTTTGGACTGAGACATCAAACTCATTCTGTACCTGTTCTTTCCGGTTTCATTCTGAAACACACTGTCACAGTACTGGATCTTCTCCCTGGTCACAGCGTACAGTTTGACTTTTGGATACTTCTCGGCCATCTTCAGCAGAGAATTAAAGACCCTTCCTTTCCCGTCCTGCCTCATGTTCCTCTCAGGACCCCAGAACACGTACGTGGTGTCGGCCGACTGCTGGAAATATTGGCGCTCGTTTTTTACCAGCAGGGGAACACTGGTGTGAGAGACAACCCGGACGCTGGTGCGACCCCCCACGTCTCTCTCGTAGCCCCCCGTGGGGGCATTGTTCATCCGGATCACACAGGGTACTTTGTCGATCTCTTCTCCAGCGCCGGCTCCGATCATCTGACCCGAGCTGGAGACCAAGGCACACTGGCTGCAGTGCATGTAGAGGAACTGTTGAGGACCAGGACAGGATAATCAAAATTAGAAGTCCTATTTACAGTGACAACAGCAGATAGACAGCACAAATGAAAGTCAAAAAAAAATTAAGTATAACATCAAATAAAAATACATCCATGGTAAACAAATCAGGGGCAGTGTTATGAAAGAAAGTGAAGTATCAGTAAGTGAAAAAAACCAATACAACCTAAAAATGTTGTTTTAGATTGACATATTAAGTAAATTCATTGACATAAATCTAATCTACTACAAGCATATCTCAGTATTTATTCTACCAGAATTACATCTGTATGAATATTTCTGACTATGAGACCTAGCCTGTGACTTGTTGTCATCGTTAAAGAAGGACTCAGATCATTTTCTTAAGTACAAGTACAATTACTACACTGTACAAATACATCTGTAAACACTGGAGACATGTGATCGGCAGGATTGATGTTGAGACCGAGTTCCAACCTGCAGCTTCGCAGGGGTTTCCTTTTTTTAATAGTCTGTGGATGTGCGTCTCAGAACTAACAAAACGAGCTATGACTTGGACTAAGACCCTAACGGATGTATTTTGTGAGTGATGTATTTAGTCCTCTCACCTGGTCCTTCTGGATGGGGCCGATCCTCCTGTAGCCCTGGAGCCCGTGTCCCTGCAGGGCGGCCGTCGGACCGTCCCGTGTGAGTACATGCCAAAACCAGATCAAGAGAGGAAGGCTCAGGCTGAGCAGGCCGAGCCAGCGGAGCATCTGAGGGGACGACAGGGAACGTGTTGAGGAGGTTCATCTGGAAGGAGCCTACCGGACATCCAGCTCATGTTTCCATACATGAAGTACTCAGATCTTTCACTTAGGTAGGCCTTAAAGTAGTAATTATCAAAATGTAGAAATACTCTGTTAATCAGTTAAATAAGTAAATGTACAAATGCATTGTACTCAAAATGTACATAAATGACAAAAAAAATCGTCACTTAAATGCAAAAATATTTCACAGATGATTGGATTTGCAGCTTTTTTTGATAATAATTTTCTCTTACAAAAGTGAGACAAAACAACCATAGGGCATGTACCCCTTTGGGTTATTCGGACGTCATTTATTTTTCTCTTTCTGATTAACAAAATAAAATTGACAAATTACAGTATTATTATAATGTATGCATTGGTGTGTAAGCATCACTAATGCTGTAGCTGCAAGGTGGAGCTTACTTAATACTGTTTAGCATTAAAATAAACTAGTACAATTAAAATTGTCAGATAAATGTTGTGCAGTAAAAAGTACAATATTGGCTTACAGTAGTAGAATAGTCCTATAAGGAGAACAAGTAAACACTGAGACACCTTACAATTGTACACTATCTGCAATATATTCAGTAAGTGTTCTTTGTTTTGAGTACACATACATTAAATAACCGGCTTGTACCTGATATTTCATATTAAGGCCCAGGCTGCGATAGCTCCGCTTCTGAGAGCCCTAGCGAACTCATTTTCGCAGCCGATTAACTCGAGGCAGAAGCGGCAAGAAAGACAAGCCTATCCGAGGAGAACTCATGATCAGACGAATTCATATTTACAGATTTTAATGGCCGCTCCCGGTCTATTTTCCACTACAAGATCCTTTTCTTGTCAGGTTAACCTTCATCCCCAGGCAGATAAACACTTTCACTACTGTTGGTTAATCGATTGCATGTTGGAATTAATTGTTATCTTAAAATACGTCCAGTTTTTTTTTTACCGTTATCTCTCATTACAGTGCCTGCCTGATAAACATTTTCTCTGTGAACAAGGCTTCCGGGCCGACCTTTCAAAATAAAAGTGTCACCTGAGCCCATAAAACAACGAAATACTCAACAACAACGTAGCCTACAATTATACATGTATCTGTTTGCATATTCTCACCTTTTTATACATATTTAATAAGCATTGTCAAACATTAGTCTCAGATAAAAACACCCAGCCAGATAATCACATGCCTGCCATTCATTGGCATTGCATGTACAGTTATGTTTCGTGTACATCTCAAAACATGTGTAACATGTAATTTTATATGATATTATATGATGGTATGTGTTATGCTTTCATATAATGTATATTACATTTGATTGTATGTTTTGAAAAATACATGTGGTAAATTTTCCGACAGTTTACCTTGTGAGTGTTATGTTCATTCAGGGATGATGCTCTTTGATCGATGATTTGATTGGTCTTTTAAAAAACTTATCCCGCCTCTCTTCCATCCGATTGGCCAAGAAAAAAAGTGAACCTCTATCCTCCTCCTTCCATTGGCTTTGGAATTGCGTCAGTATCGTTACGCACCAAAAACACCTCCCCCTAGCAAAAAGCTAGTGTGCGGCTTTCACTAACTGTGACACAGGAATGCCCTTTCCTGCTAGCGCCTTTAATGCTCACGGTATGTACCTGTGTGATTGATTATGATGTTAGTTACCACTGGTTAGCTGTACAAAGAGCCGGTGAAACCTGTGAGATGTCAGTTTAAAAGCACCGCTGCTCACGGTGTCCGGTTGACCGGATCATGATGCTGTGATGTGAAGTGACAGATGAGCTAGGCTAGCCCAAAATGCTAGCTAACGTTAGCATTTTTGCTTGTGAGATTGAGGGCTTTTTGCCTACTTGTGAGTGCTTTTTTTAGCTTGTCAATAATATTTTTAACAAATACAATACACAGGCTTGCTGTGTATTTGTATCTATTATTTTAATAACGTGGTGGCTGTAATGATTTATGTTCTCAGCTGCCTGTATGCTACCTAGTTTCATGTTTGTTCAGCTAGCAACCTCGCTGTTGCTTTTACTTTCTTAATTTCCGATTGCAAACCTCCTGTTTGCAAGTCACTATCACTATGATAGTGACTTGTATTCACTTTCAACCTTTGTTTTTTAATTGTAATTGGCTTACAAAATGTTTTTATTGTCTATTTTACATTGTTATTTTGTCTTCTGTTTCAATTTGCTATGTGAAGCACTTGGGGGCTGCATGATTGTATGAAAGGTGCTATATAACAGAAGAAGAAATCGATTTTCTTATTGTATTAGTTGGTTTTGCACCAAATAGAGAAAGCCAGAAAGGTTTAACACCTGGTGTTTGTCATGTGTAGCAGGTGTGGGGCAGGCTGGTCAACTGGCTGCAGACCAGACAGCGTAGATAGCTTAGTAGCTGGCAGAGTGTCAAGCTGCTCGGCTGCTTAACAGTTAATGCAACTTATTATAAATGCAGCTTTTTGCATGTTGATTCTGTGTCTTGAGAGTTTTGCCCTGGAGCCAGTTTCAAAGTTCCTGTGATGATAAACTGTCTTTTGATGAATCGTCTTAAGCTTTGTAATGTAATCTATCACTGAATGAGGAAGCTGCAACAACCTGGTCTTTTCCATAATTCATGTCTTTATTAAAGGGCAATAAATCTACAATCGAACATTGGACCAGTGTGGAGCCAAAGCTCGGGGAGTGGATGAGGACAGCCGGTTCATCAGCAGGCCCTGAGCTGGCTGACCTCAAAGCAGAGACAACACCTCGATTAGGGTGAATTTGAAAATAGCTGTGCCCTGAAGGCATTTCCATTTTTAAGATGTCATGCAAACGAGCAGACGGGATGTCCATAGCTCAGGCGTTAGCCATGACTGTAGCAGAGATACCGGTGTTTCTCTATTCCACATTTGGGCAGGTAAAACACATTGCCTCAGTTAAGCTTTGCATATGTACACACAAGCACTTTTCAAAAACCCCAGTAACAATGGCTGAATTTATTTTTGGTAGAGCCCTTTATATCAACACCTTATGTTTTCCTCCTCTGCTTTCAGTCCATATTTTCTCAGCTAAAGCTCACCCCAAGCTTGAAGAAGGTGCTGTTTGCCACGGCGCTGGGCAGTGTCGCATTGGCTCTCACCGCTCATCAGCTGAAAAGGCGGGGGAGAAAAAGGAAGCAGGTAACACAAGGGAAGGATGGCCAGAAGACAGTGGGAATACCTGAGGCGCTGATGAAGACAGGAAGACCCTCGTCATTAAAGAGAGGTGTGCTTGACTCAGTGTTTGGACGAAGAGTCATTTGAGATGTTTAAAACAAATGCTTTGTGGTTGCTGTATCAACATCTATTGAGAATGTTTTTCTCTCCACAGGCCAATTTACTGGCCGACAGATGATGAGTCCCAGCAATCGCAGCAATGACACCATGAGTGGAATTTCTTCCCTGGGCCCAAGCAAACACTCAAGCTCCTCACACAGCCTGGCATCTGTAAGTTTAATTATTTGCAACATATTTGTACATTTTTGCTCACAGTTTTTCCCTTTTCTACATTTTTCTAATATGCCTTTTTTTTCTGTCTTGTCTGCTCCTGTCATAGATGCGAGTCCCAAGCTCTCCAAATCAGTCTGCCAATCCGTCCACCCCCTGGGAAGCGGAGCCCGTGGTGGAAGAGTCGGGAGCTATGGAGGATGCAAATGCAGAGAATCTCTATATAATGGGTATCTATTTATAAAGTTGCTCTATTGTACCTCTAAGGATTAATAAAGTACTCCAGTTATTGGTGACTATGGTAAAAAACAAATGCTGCATTGGCACTAGGAGGGACAATACTCAAATGTGCAGTTGGTTTGGATGACTTGTAACATTTGCATCTTGAGTATAATGTTAAAGTCATTATTATGTGGTTTTAGAATAATCTGATAATATTGATAGTTTAACACAGCTTTCCCCCAACCCATGACTATAATGCAGCATTACATTTCTGCTGTTGGTAATGTAGAACGAGTCAAGAAAATGGAGGGTTTAATAAGGTTATTGTTGGACTCTTGGAGCCGTAGTGCTGTGGTATTTGGATTAGCCTTCATGAAGAATTTGAATTCTTTGCTCTTTACACCGTACAAACTCAGGTCCCTTAAACCTGCAATCAGCTGCTTTTTTGACACGAGGATTTGCCCTATTACTGAAACAACTAAGAAGTAACTCCAAACACTGTAACTCTGTTTTTCTGTGCCATTTGCAGTACTTTCCATCTCAAACCTTTATTTTCAAGCTCACAAATAAACAGTTTGCTAAAGTCTTACCACTCTATTGCTTGAAGGGATGGAGCTGTTTGAGGAAGCTCTACGAAAGTGGGAGCAGGCCCTGAATATCCGCCATCAGCCCAGCTCGTCCTCCAGCAACCACAGCCTCGCTCTGCAGGGGGCCGCATGTGCTGAGCTTCCTATGGTAACCAATCTAACAATGATTACCAATACAAACTGCACAAAACTCTTCTACATGGTTGAATGACTTTCCAGCTTGCATACAGACTAGAATTGCATTGTTTAGCTGGGATTTCACCTGCTGTTCTTTGTTGCACATTTCTAATGAATTACAATGAAAGGTAATGGAACTGATCCTGGACTAAAGCCCTTTTTTTTTTACATACAAATCCATGATCTTTACTTGTTTTATGCTTTTCCCTTTTCATTACAGGTTGAATCCCATAATAACGTGTTTGCTGAGAAGTTGGAGACCCTTCTGCACAGGGCCTACCACCTGCAGGAGGATTTTGGCAGCAGTATCCCGACAGACAGCGTGCTAGCAGATTTCGGTAAGCGTCATGTTGGTTTCACGTATAAGGTTTAACGATATTATTAATCAAGGGGAACACATTTGGATTACAGGCACAAGTTTGAAGAATAGCTGAGTTTCGATGACAAAAATAACTCGTTATGGTTCATTATTGCCGTAGGATGATGCAGTCCTGGTGTGTATCAGTAGGAATACCGTTTCTGTTTTTTACATTGGGGCTACACTCTTCATATTCCTGTTTTGACCTGTGTTTCGATTCTTGCCCTGTCAGTCAGAGTTTGTGGTGTTCCTTTGGCAGAGAGTGAAGGAACTCTTATCTTGCCTCAAGTGGAGAGTTTCCACAGACTGCACGATGACGATGACACAACTGTTACCTCCGACGACTCCTTCTTCTCGGCTGCAGAGGTCAGTTCCCAAATAACTGGAATACATTGTAACAGACACTTATTTGTACTTATATTTGTACCAAGTACACTTCACATACTGTTTTTTTTTTTTTCTGTCCAGCTGTTTGATGCCATGTCTCTGGAAGGTGTGTACCAGCCTCTGAGGCCTGCAGCTCTCTATGAAGAAGCCTTGTGTCTGGTGCGGGAGGGCAAAGTGCCCTATAGGTCCCTGAGGTAACTGTGAAGTTTAACAACTGCAGCTAAAAAGTGCATTAGTGCTGTGTTAAATCTTGTTTTTTTACTTAAAGTTGGTTAAATGTTTGTGTGTAATGTCAAAGGAGTCGTCGGTAGTGACGAACCGACCGATTATCAGCCGATTCTGGACTTTTCAATAAAAAATCCGCTGCACAATACCTACCCTGAATGAACAGCACAAAGAAAAAGTGATCCGTTAGCTGGGGAAGAACATAATGGAGCATTTACTGTAGCAGCTAAATTCCCAGATATTTCCCTTAGACAAAACAAAAAAAGAAGCTAAAGAGTAAACATTGAACTGAGTCATGGCCCCTGCAAAAATCAACTAGCCAACACAACTAAACACGGGTACACATCACTTATTTCAGCAATCAAAAGAAGAAGAAGAAGAAGAACAAGAGGAAGAGGAATATGACTGTCCTCTGCATGTGTATTCTAGATTCTTCTCTGCTTACACGTTTGCCCTTTCAACTTCATAAAAGGATTCTTTGTCAGTGTTTCATTGAGCTTCATACATCTCTGTCTTTCTTTTTTTCCCAGGACTGAATTACTTGAATGTTTTGGGGACCAAGACTTCCTTGCCAAGCTCCAATGTGTGCGACAAGCATTCCAGGTGTGTTTGAGCTCCTAAACCCTGCCAATGTTATCCAGATCCTTTTCTTTGTTTGGATGCAATCATTGTCATAATCCCCTCCCCTTTGTTCAGCCTTTTAAACCCACTTCTAAATGTCGGTCCTTTTCCAACATTGTGGTTACAAATAAGCTTCACGAGCTAGGTTGTACTTAGCAGTGCTTGATTCCTGTTCTAATATAGATTGCTTTTTTGTTTTGCTGGACCCCCATTCATGATCTCATACACAATGTAATGACACTCTTGTAGAAACCTTGTAGCGAGACTCTAACCTACCGGAGTTTGTAATATGCAACCTTTGTTCAGGTGTAGTCTTAGCACCCATAGGCAGGTCGAGCCAGGGGTCTCTGTTCTGTTGAATTATGCTTTGGAAAGGTACAAAATATATACATAAAGAAAACATAAATGGATGATACTTTTATCTTTAGAACTTTAGATTTTAAGCTTTGTTCTTCAGTCTCGGGAAAAAAACCAGTTTCATGCATTGACAATTGCAGAGCCGAAGTTGAAGCAGAAATGTTTATATTTTGGATGTGTTCAATTCTGTTGCGTTTATCTACTACTGCAAATGCCATGTATTCCACTTCAAGTCAGAGATATGTAGAACTCGGATATCTAATGAGATGATGCTTTTCTTTTCAGTTCCTGTTGCTAGATGAAACTCACCGCACATTTTTCATGGAGACCGGGAAGCAAATGATTGCAGGGTTAATGGTGAAGGCAAACAAGGTAAAAACACTACTCATTTACATCTTCACGTATAAACGGGACAGTCTTCTATTTCTCTGGACACATTTGTCCATCAGTAACTATTAAGTCTGTGTGTTGTTTGTTGCGTTAACACAGAGTCCCAAAGGCTTCCTGGAGAGCTACGAGGACATGCTGCTCTACACAAAGAGAGAGGAAACATGGCCCGTCACCAAGATGGAGCTGGAGGGTCGGGGGGTGAGCACTCGCATCATTTATCTCACTGTGTTTGGATTAGTTTACTCAGGGAAACAGGGATACTTTGTCACAGGGTTTATGTAAACTGGCTAACCTGAATTCAACTTGAACTGAAGATCAGCCCACAGTTAGATCACTCTGCACTTTACTCACAGTAAGGCTCATTTTAGAGTCAGGCTGGTGGCGATTGTGTAACTGGCAAACAATCCGTTCTTATTTAAGTGCAACATAATTTATTTACTTTGACTTGCGTTAAATACTTGAGAACAATAACGTTTTCCTAAGAACTTAAAGTGTGTATGTGTAGCCGCTTTCACACCAAGTACTTTGCTGCACTTAGGCCCCGGCTCCACAAGGACGCATACGGCTAAACGCATAGGATTAACGCAATCGCAAAAAAGCTTCCGTCCACACGCAATGTTCACCGGATAGTGTCTGTCCACACGAGACAGCTCCGTTTAGCTCCAACCGCTGGAGAAGCTGCAGTACATATGCAGGAGCCTGTACGTGGCGCTGTAACTTCCTCCACAAAAGCAGCGAAGAAGCATGGTTGTCATGGTTGCCCTTCTGTTTATTCTCCGCGGTGGGGGCCGAGGGAACCGGGCAGAGTTTTTCGCCAGTCAACGTGTATTAAAGTTTAAATCTTCCGGACAAAATTATAAAAGTGCCGGTCAAAGGTCTTCTTTGTATTTATTGAGCTTTAAAACAAATGAATAACGACTCTATATAATATAATAATAAAATACACGGAGCCTCTCTTTTTCCTCCCTCTCTTCGGACAGCGTCAGTGTCTGTCTCAAGCAGCAGCTGATCCAGTAATGAGTGACCCGGCCGACAGTAAAAATAAATATATTTATAACTAGTTTAGGTAGTTTGAGAGGTAATTAAAATAGCTAAGGGTGATGATCTGACTTGAAGTGTGTGTGTTTTGCTCCGTTCACCGCTGCATCACAGCGGGAGGAGCTGCAGGTGAGCAGAGCTGCGTGTCTCCGTCCTGTCAGATTAGACTTCACTCGCGTTTATGTCCATATCAGAGAAAGATAAATAATCTGAATTCAGTGTGCAGTTTACTTTGACGCGGGGGTGAGTAGCAGAGGTGGGGAG